TATAGAAACAAACAAATTTTTTAAATAAATTTTTATTTTTTTTAATTTGTTTCAGCTTTAACCAAGGGTTATCATATGTTTTATACTAAAATGATTAATATGTCTAAAAATTCGTACAACAATTTGAGTAATTGAAATATATATATATTTTGTATATAAATCTATTCTTTGCTTACCGGATCAAATCGAAAGCGATCTTCGTTTGGCATGCCCTGGGGATATTGCCCTGGGGGATTTCTGCCCGGATAATTGGCTCCAAAACCATTTGGCTGATAATGACCATATCGGCGATCGTTGAACGTGTAAGTTCTGTAGTTGCAAAACGTAAGTGGAAAAGTTGATAAGTTAAACTGAAAATATAAAAATATGACTCACCTGTAATCTGGATCACCTGGATTTGGCCAATGATAGTCAACGCCTGGCCGCGAATAAAATCTTGGATCCCTTGTTTGTGCCTCCGTTTGCATAAAACAGGTGCAAATCAGCAGGGGCAGGGCTAAAACCCATTTTAATTTATCGCGATATTTTAATTTGTGCATCATGGTGATCTAAAAAAAACAATAGTTATTTAAGTTACAAAATGTGTTAATTATAGAAGCTTTTGCTCATATTGTAAATATAGTTTTGTGTTTGTTTTCATTATTCTTATTCATATTCCAGAGCCTCCAAAAAGTTTCTCCTTTTACAAAGCTGTTATTCAAAACAAACACAAGCCGAAACAAATAAAAACCAAAATTACACTTTAAATCAGTTATTTCTCAATTCTTTGTTCAATAAAGAAACAATCTTGATATCTGAGAAAAATATGTTTCGGAAGCACTTACATTTATGGCCAACCCAACGAATCTTGAGCTCTTTAAAGTATAAACAAACAGAATAAAAACAAATCTGGATCCGAGCTCTGAGTAAGAGTGACCAAACTGGTTTTCCATTACGTTGTTGGCTCAATTTTCTTGGCATTAGAAGAAGCCGAGAGACCGACAAACCCGTTTGAACGCTGACGCGAAAAAATGCGCTAAAAATAAGTTACAGCATAAAGTGCGACTTCCAAATGGAGGCATTGAGTTGGGGAGTTGCTCGAATGGAGAGACCCCTTACTCTGACGATTACGTGCCTTGTCTGGTGCGCTGGGATCGGCGTCAATGGGTTAATTGCACCGACAATGGAGAAAGGTCATCGCTTTAAATTGGTTTAAGCTTGGGAAATGGGGTGTTGCAGGTTGAGTAAGCCAATAGCAAAGCAAGTAAATTGTTTTAAAAATTGATGTCTAATTGTTTTTATTTTCTGGTAAGCTAATACGCGACATAACAATTTAACTAATATATTGGATCGTTTGTTGCATGTTTTATTTTTTTTAGTAATCTATTGATTTTTTTTGTAAAAATATGACTGAACAATAATCTTTAAGATTGACAAATTCAAAAAGCAAATAGCATAATAATAATACTATATATATATTGTATGTACGTTCTAGTCATCGAAAGATTAATGATGAAAAGCGATAATTAATAATTGAAAAATTCACTCAATTACATTTATGTGGCAGGTGCTTCCGGCTATTTCCATCCCCTTAAATACGTGTGAAAATGCAATAAAAGAAAAAGTGAGAAAACACATACACCTGGCTGTTCCAAAGGCGGTTAAATTAGTATTTTGTTATTGGCGTTTGATTGGCAATGCAAGTCGTATCGATGCAACATTAATGTCGTTACCCTGGTTGCATATATGCATTCAGGTTTACAGTTTTGGTCAACGTAATAGAAACATATTCATCTCTCCAATATTTAAACACTTTCCTCACTTTCTCTGATACCTTTAAAAAGTATAAAAACCGCATTTCCTTAACTGTTTTAGGAACAATATAGACCAATTGGTACAAAGTAAATTCAAACAAGTAAAAAAACCTTTTAAGAACTAAAAAAAAATTAATTTCGAAAACATTTTTTTTCTGTTTATTCTGAACCGTTTGATGTACATTTAAGATCATCTTGCTGATGCTATTGTTTTGACTGCGACTGTAGGAAAAGTGGCACAAGGACTCACACAGATACGGGTGCATTAACCTGCTTGTTGAGGCCTCAAGTTACCCGACTGTTCGGTTTCTCAACCCTCGAAGGGTTCCTATTAAAATTACGGAAGTGCAAACGCCTGCACAAAAAAATATGACAAGCTCTGTGTTATTTTCTTTTTTAACAAGACGGGCTGGGAATTTCATATCGAATTTCGTGTCGAAATTTTGTTAGCACTTTGTTATTGTTCCGTTGATGAATCATTTGTATAGAAGTTTAGCTTTTTTCGCAATCACCAAAGCAAACAATAAAACGCAACGATAACGCTGAAAGTGAAGCGCAGGTGCGCCTGTGTGTGTGCGATCTGTAGGGTTGTGTGTATCTGTGTGTTGGCCTACACTACACAGGTGTTGTTGTTACTTCAGCACAGGAAAAAATTATAGGTTTTTTTCAAATTTTTCTATATTTCTTTAAAATATATATATACAAATATTTAAAAAGAATTTAAAGCTATTTGAAATAACTTTTTAATAAATATTTGTTTAAATATAAATTTAATATTTTTAAAAGTATTAATACGAGTTTTTAGTGGGTATCTTAAACGTTTTATTGAAAATTGTTAACACTTTTAACTTTCTTGAAACAAAATAAAAGCAATAACAACATTTTTTGTTGATTTGTGCACTGTGTTTGTTGTTTATGGTTTCTCACTCTTGCTATTTTGAACACGATAGTAGGTAGTAGCAAAAAAGGTGGCATTTTTTTCTGTGCGTGTTAATCTCACTGTTTTTACAGTTATGCTCCAATTGATGACGTTGCCGTGGCAACTTGTTGCGGCTTCTAGCCGCCGTTTCACTATCTAATCGCGATTTTTCAACCATTACCATTCGCATTTTCTTTCATTTCGATGGTATGTTGTTCACTCACAATAACTTTCTTGGCCAACGCCCCGAAAAGGTAACAAAATGAAACATTCAGCACCAACCGAAAATCCGACTGAAAACGAGAAAAAACGCAACTGAAATGACCGTTTTTGAGTCACAGACTCAGGTAAACCAGGTAAGTCTCACGCACACCAAAGCACGCAACTCAGTTAACACTCACGCTCAGTGCCGGGTTGTTACCAACAACAACTCACACGGATACACCTGGCCCAAACGATTCTTTCGATGTGTTGGGCGCGCGCAGCTTTGAAGGCTCTCCGTTTCCACTACCACTTCCCCTCTCTCTCTCCCACTCCCCCTCACCTGTGCAAAAGTGAGCGCAACAGCACGACGGCGACCAACTACAACCGACCAACCGACTCTCGCGAACGCTGAAAAGTATCTGAAAGTAAGCCAAGATACTTTTGCTTAACATAAATGTTAAAATATCGTTTTCCTACAGAAATGTTAACTGAAATGTTAGGAATGATGAGAGAGTGGCTCTCGCTGAATGCACTATGGGCCAGCGACCACTTTTGTTGGCCAATATTAATAAGTCGATCGATTTCAAAGATATGAAGATAGAAATTTACCAAACGTTTTTTGCTAATTGGGAAATCATAGCAATGGTATTAGTAATCTAGATAAATTTATATGTTTTTGTCCAACTGAGAATTGCTTAATATATTTGTATCTATATTGTAAGCTAAAAGTTCGCATTTTTTAAAAAATGTTATAACATTTCTGCGCTTCATAAATTTTACAAGTGATCATTTTTGAAAAATTTTTAACATTTAATTTATAAATCTCAATAAGTTTATGCACCAAAAACGAGTTTTTTACCCATGGTGCAACGAGGGGAGCGGATAAGAGAGAGAGAGAGAGACAGTCAGCTGACCGGGAAAGTCATTTGGCTCGGATGCTAGAGTGGGAGCGGATTCGACTGGGGTGGAGAGGGGGCCAAAATCAAGCAGTGCATTTGTCGAGAGGTATAACACCGAAATTTCAGTTTATTGAAAAACCACCTTTAATAAGTTATTATTATTTAAATACTTAATTAATTCGTATTATTTAATGTTATTGTAATTTACTTAATTTAATAAAATATATGTTGGGCCTCAAAAGCACGATCCTAACCAGATTACTATTTCCTTAAAACGACTTTTGTTTGTTTGTGTGTTCGACATATTTCTCCAACTAATTGCTGTCTCGTCATTCAAAGAAAACCGTTCTGAATTCGGCTTCCGTTGTGGATAACGTAGTAATGAGTTATGTTTGCATGACAAAACGGAATTCAATTTTGCATAATTTCTAATTGAATTCTATTATATAGGACGCAGCCCAGACGATGGATGGATATGGATGGGTTGTGATTCACGCGTTGAACCCCGCAGCGCGAAGGCAATTGGCGATCAGTTCACATTTTGACCCCGACTTATTGAGCGGGTTGTTGGGCGTAGCTGCTGATTTTAATTATAACCCAAGTTCCGATGTCAAAGATGCGGGAAGCAATTAAAGCACTTGAGCATGGACACGCTTTGTTTACAATGTTGACCCTTTCTTTATTAATGAAGTGCTTAAGTCAATTAGGCTAAAGAAAAATGAAGTTAGCTACTGAATGGCAAAAAAAAAATTGTAGCGATGGGATTGAAATTTATAAGTAACAAATATGGATTTTTCCTGCGGATATTCCAGACCGCCACAAAACGTAGCTAATTAATAAATTGATATGCTCACTTGCTTATGCTTTTTCACTGATGTTTAGATATCCACACAATTCTAATAACAAAATTGTTTTTAATATCATTTTTCCATTCTGCTAAATTAAACCCACACATGAATAATTGTACTGAATTTCTTTCTTTCTTGTAGTTAATCCAAAAATGCGAATGTTTCTGTCGGCGTATTTATTTTGAAATTGTTTAGCTGACTAACAGGCATTTAATAGTCGGGGCACTCTAAAATGCACTCAACATTTTAGATTTCAAACAATTGCGCCAACCCATCGACCATCGGGCTTTCGATAAGCTTTTAGTTGAAATGGCATTAAGCGCTAGCCAACACCGGCCAGTGTTATCGACTATCGAAAGCGCAGCTGTTTTCGTCTGAGAAAAAAATCACAGAGGAAACACTCGAAGGATATCAAGGATTTTGGGATTCTGGGACTCTGTGGCGCAGCAGGAGCTGATCGTAAATAAGACTCGAACGGGAAACAGCCGAGCACTTGCGCCGGAGAGCCATGGAGCCGCCATCGCCGGGCGGAATCGCGTCCGCCGGCTCGACGCACAAGTTCCATCCGTGCGATGAGGCGGTAATAGCCACCAACGACGATGCCAGCGACTGCAAGCGATGTGCGGTACGCCTGGGCTACTGGAAGGACGACTACATCGGGTACTTTGTGCGCAACCAGGAGCGCAAGGCGCCGGAGATCAACCGGGGGTACTTTGCCCGGGTCAAGGGCGTGGAGATGTGCGTCGAGAAGTTTCTGAAGGTCAGTGGTCGTTGGTCGCTGGTTGCTGGTCAGTGCTTAGTGCTCAGTGCTCAGTGGTGATGGCGCCCAACAGTCTGGCACGTGCCAAGGTCATCCTGTTGCATTGCACTGTGCACTGTGTACTGGGCATGGTCATGACCATGGTCTGCCATGCGCATGTCCTGGTTGGGATGACCTTGCCCGCCAACCGCTGCTTTGCCCCCGATGCATTCACACAACCACCTTGCTCCCTCACACAGAAAACGTCGGGCAACTGCCAGATCATCAATTTGGGCTGCGGCTTCGACACACTCTACTTCCGGCTGAGGGACACCGCCCACCAGGTGAAGAACTTCATCGAGCTTGACTTTCCCACGGTGACCGCCCGCAAGTGCTACACAATCAAGCGGAACAAGGCCCTGCTGGCCAGGATTCACGACGAGGACGGCGAAGTGCGGCTGAGTCCCACGGACCTGCACGGACCCAGCTACCACCTGATGGGCGTCGACCTGCGCAACCTCGACGAGGTGGACAACAAGCTGCAGCAGGCCGAAGTGGACTACTCCCTGCCCACCATCTTCCTCGCCGAGTGCGTGCTCGTCTATATCGAGGCGCAGAACTGTCGCAATCTGCTCAAATGGATCGCCCAAAAGTTTCAGGCCGCCGTCTTCGTCAACTACGAGCAGGTTAGGAGTCATTGGGGATCTATAGGCTTTATTTTAAAATAAAATTATAAATTTCATGCTAAAAAGTTAAAAGAGTTAGGAATAAGTTAGTTATGTTAAGTTTAGATATGTATTTTTATAAATTACCAGTTGAAAAGGCATTTGTCAAATTATCGGTTCTTTTCCAGAGTTAGAAATTTAAAATTCAATTAACTCTTGCTTAAAGGCATTTGGCTAATAATTTTGTTATTCTCCAGAAAATATTTCATTCTTTTTAATATACAACATTTTATTTTAATAGGCTTTTTTTGTGTATTAAGAAATGTTTTTACCTATTGTATTGTTTTTAATTACCTGCTTAAATGGCGAAATATCTCTGTTTTTCATGAGAAAATGCAGCCTTTTAAATAATGTAATTCTTAAAAGTTAATGAAGCTAAGCTTTTTTATTTTATCTTAAAAAATGTTTCCTTTTTTTAATTGTTATTAATTACCTGCTTAAATGGCGAAATATCTCTGTTTTTCATGAGAAAATACAGCCTTTTAAATGTATTATCTTCTAAAATTATTAAATATTAATAAACCAAACAACTTTAATCTCTACAGGTGAACATGAACGACCGCTTTGGCGATGTGATGCTCAACAACCTGCGCGGACGCGGCTGCAGCCTGGCAGGAGTGGAGTCCTGTCTGTCGCTGGAGACGCAGCGGAATCGCTTCAAGGACAGCGGCTGGACAGGAGCGCGCGCCTGGGACATGGTGCAGGTGTACGAGAGCATCTCGGCGGCCGAAAGGCAGCGCATCGAGCGGCTGGAGATGCTGGACGAGGGCGAACTGCTGCTGCAGCTGTTCCAGCACTACTGCCTGGTGGTTGCCTGGCTGGGCGTGACCTTCCAGGACATAGATATCACGTGCGTGCCAGTGTAAACATTCGTGCCTAACTGCCAGTGGTTCCCCCATGTTCCCTGATCACTAACGATCCACTTTTTTCTATCCCTATCCATGCAGCGTCGAGGAGCTGATGTCCTCGCTTAACATTGACTAGGAGGAGCGATGAGGGAGGCAAGGATGAAGTGACAGCCAACTTGGATGAATTATTTATTGACTCTTCTTTGCTCCACTCGGAAGGAAGGCCATGCCAAAAGATTTTGCTTCTCAACGTGTTAATCTTAATAACAATTAATTATACAAAAACCATCGAAATCAAAATGTATTTAAACAACTATCCCACACGGAACCACTCACACATTGCTTGATTTGTACATTTTTGAATGTTCCTTATACATTTTTCCCTTGTTACGTTCTTTATTATTTAAACGCTTATTTTATTCTTGAAATTGATTACTAATTTATCACCGAATCTTGGCGAAAATTGATATGCCATTCATTCATTCCCCAATTCTAGTGTGCGTTTTAAGTGTAAATGTATTTCGAAATTAATAAAAACAAAACTTAATTGCAAAACTGAAATAGATTTTGTTTAATTTAAATATTAGATATTAATCAATTAAGAAGATGCGTATGTGTTCACATTACTTTAATCCTATTTCCATATAAGGGAATATCTAAAACCGATTTATTAAATCTTACTTTATTTGTTTACATAACATACGCATATATAAATATTTAAAAGTTTTAATGCAAATGGAACTTGTATTAAAAGTATAAATCAACTGAATGTGCATGCTCTAAGATTCCCTGCTGGCCGTTTTCGCCATCTCGCGGGTTCTGAAAAAAGAAATTAAAGTCATTATTTAGTTAAATGGAAATAGAGTTTAAGCAAGCGACTGGAGAATAGGATTCTAAGCTTACATGGCGCGTAGTTCCTCCAATGTGGGAACGGGAACCCGCGAGGATTCGGTCTCATCCTCCTTGGCCGCCAGCTCCGGATGCTTCTTCCACTTGTGCGAGCGGCAATTGGTGTTGCTGGCGAACGCCTTGCCGCAGTACTTGCAGACATATGGCCGGAGACCCGTGTGTCCCAGCAGGTGGATCTTCAGGGCCGTGGAGTTCTTGCAGCCGCTGCCGCAGATCTCGCACTTGAATCGCCGCTCCTCGGTGTGAACATACTTGTGCTTGTTGAGAATGGCCCGGGTCTGCAGCTTCTTTCCGCAGATGTCGCACTTAAACTGTGGCTCTCCGTGCGTCTGGCTGTGCACCTGCAAATGGGCAATCGAATTACGGGCTCATGCTATCCAATATATATCTATATCCAATGACCCACCCTGAGTCTGGCCTTGTTTTTGAAGGCCGCATTGCATACGGGACAGACGCAGGGCTTCTCGTCCGTGTGGACCAGCTGGTGCTCGACCAGCGACGTGAAGGTCTTCAGCCCTTTGCCGCAGCAGTCGCAAACGAAGCGCTTGGGACCGCCGTGCATGTCGTGCTTGTGGCGGCGCAGAGCCATGAAGGACATGAAGGACTCGTTGCAGGCCTTGCAGATGAAATCGTCGACGCCCGGACTCTGGTCGGCGCCCACCTGCGGCGACCCACTGTCTTTGGGTGACTGCCTCTGTGCTTTGGCTTTGGCAGTGCCTTCCGATTTGCAGGGAGTTCTATTCTGGCTGTCTTCCTGCTTCAGCAGCTTGCCTCTACCCCTCGGACGCCCACGTTTCCTTTTCTCGGGCTGCAGGACCATGATGTCATCTTCGTCTAGGATGAGGTCCACCTCCATCTGGGAATCATAATCAAGGGATTTGCGACCGCGCTTTGTTTGTTCCCCAGGTGATGGAGCAGTGGAATGGTCCGATGTGTCTAGCTCCTCTAGCTGGTGTTTCCTATCCATTTTTTGAATCTCTGGTGAGGGAGCAGTGGAATGGTCGGATATGAATGGCTCCTCGAAGGAGGAACATTTGTCCTCCTGCTCATCGATCTCCAGGAACTCCAGTTCCTGCTTGCAGGTGGGCGGGAGGCCATATTGCCGCCGCAGTGCGTCCAACTCCTGACTGTCCTGCGGCTCCGAGTGACGCAGTAGCTCGAAAATGGCCTGGACCTTGGTAACGCTCTCCGAGAAGGTGAGCAGTTGGCCAACCACCGTGTAGCACTCCTCGCACAGCATGCTCCCCAGTTCCGGCTCCTCGAGGGTCATCTGGGGTTCAAGGACACTGTATATTAGGAGTTCTGGTGGCAGGGAACAGCGATACCCACCTCCACATCGAAGCATTTGCTGATGATCCTCACGAGATCTTCGTCCAGCGGACGCACTTTGATAACAGCGTCATCGCGGGCGCACAGGCGACACCAATAAAGCCAATCCGTCGTGGGCACGCCCATGGTTAATCTTCGACAGCAAACTGGTCAGTTTGGAATAGCAATTGCCTGGAATTTTAAATAAAATTCAATTCTGTTTTTAAAAATGCTGATGACCCAGCTGATTGTTAGAGTGACCATTCGCATGGCCACAGAAATCGATGATTATTTGACGCTATCGATATATTAGAAATCGATTGGTCGTGATTTCAAATTTCAAATGTAAACTGATTGCGTATTTTTATCAATATAAAAATGAACATATTGATATATAAATAAATTTAATAATTTTATTTCCACATAGCAGCAAGGAATAAATATAAAACTGGGAAATATAACAACTTTGCTTAACATAAGAATTAATATTAGTTCTCCATGCTTTCCGCCTGTTGCCCCTCGGACTCGCTTTCCTGCCAACTTTCGATGGTGTAGTATGCTTTCAAGGCCAACTCGTCGTCCAGCGTGGGTTCGCCCACGACCAGGGGCCCCAATTCTTTGTCCACCATAACGTCCTGCCAAAAACCGCTCTGGTTCTTAGCCAACGCGACCTTCTTCAGCTCCTCTGCAAACTTGTCGTACTCCAGGAAGGCGTTGAAGTCCATGCAGCTCTGTCGGTACAGCTTAATGATCTCGCCCAGCTGAACGAGGTTGAGTTTTTTGCGCTCCAGCAGGGTGAGGATAACCACGCGCGTATCAGCAGCCAGTGCCTGAAAGCGGGCATCTCGCTGGGTGGCATTCGTGATGGAGCGAACGCTCTCCAAGATCCGAGTGAAATCCGCACCGGGATTGGTCAAACCCACGCCGTCCGATGGCATGGGGATCTTCTGCTCCATTGGCTCCTGCTTGACGGGCACACCATTCTCCGCCTGCTCCTTGGCCAGTTGCTTCTCCTGCCAGGCGCGACTGAAGCGCAGTGGGAAGAGCTTCTTCACATTGGCCGCCGCCCTCTTGGACTTCTCCTCCAGCGGTTCCGGCACTCGCCAAAAGACATCCGCGAAGTTCTTGCCCTTGAGCATCTCATCATCGCGGTCGTTATCCTTGATCACCTTCCGCTCCAGCACATCCATCACGTTCTGCTCGAAGATGCTGGGCAGCCCGTCAAATGGCAGCAGATCGTTTTGGGCCCACGGACGCGGTTGCTGTGTGTCCCGCAGACTGCACTCCAGATCGGTGCTGTCGATTAGCTGGTCAATGGCATCCAGCTGATCCTCGCTGCACTCCGTCTTGGTGGTTCGCAGGGCGGGGAAGTCCCAGAAGTGGTGCTGGGCCGTGTACGACACCTCCAACATGTACAGCGTGGCCGGATGGGTATCGTCTGCTAGGCGGGGCAGGAGCACCACCATATTGGGCCTGTTGAACTTGGCGCTGTAGATCTTCCAGCAAAGGATTGCCCGATCCGAGGCGACGAGGGCGCGCACAAGGGCGTCCAATTTGATACCCGCGGCTTGGTTGCCCTTCTGGTGAGCCAAAAGGTACAGGGAGTCGCCACAAAAGTACTCATCCGGCACGGCATTGCGCTTGATGAAGCCGAAGAAATGCAGACCCTGCGGAAGCGGTTCCTTGGGCTCCAGCAGGGCGTCGTCGTAGGGCACCGGAGTGCCGCCCAGCATGTAGCCAGCCATCAGATCCTCCGGCAGCGGTGTCACCTCGGTGCCCTTGATGAAGTGCCGCGTCTCGCGGGTCACCGTCTCATCGTCCTCCGCCCAAACCTTGACCAGCTTGACCGGCGTCTGGTTCTTCATGGCGATCATGCCCTGCAGGCTGATGCTGATCTTGCTGCCGATGTGCAGCTTGGCGTTCCACACCCACGGCCGTCGATTGGTCACCTTGAAGACGGTGAGCAGGGCCTCCTTGAAGCTGCACAGCGTGGCATTGCAGCGGGGCACGAGGCTGAGCACGTGCTTCTGGTTCTCCAGCGCCTCGGGGCCGCACTTTCTAGAGAAGTTGAAAATGGCCTGCGGTTGATTGGTCTCCGCATTGTCTATGTAGGCTATGTTGTGGGTTCTGAGGGTGTAATAAATGGGGATAGGATATGGTGATTAATTTCATGAGTTTCAATATGGTTAATGGAAAATATTCAAACATATTTATTTGATATCCAAAATGCAGAAGGATAAAACTAATATATGGTATCACGATTGTATTATTAAAATGTTAATGCTTTAAAAGGGAATACATATTAATAGACTGCTCACCCCACAATCAAATCGATTTTGTTTTCAAGCAATTGGTCCGTGATTTGGTTGAATCTCTTGTAGTCCTGCGGGAAGTCATTGAAATCAAAGAGCAGGAGGATCCTTTGCCTGGCGGGCTTAAATCTGTAAAGGATACTCTATGAATTTTAAGGGTTTAGTAATAAAGTAGTAATTCACCTACGCCAAGGCAGTTTCCTGCAGATCCATTGCCACCTGGAGACCATCCAACCATTGTCCTTCCTCGCAAGCAGTTTTATTGACAAACGTGAAAAATTCCAGTAGGAGTTTCCAGTTGCAAAGTCGTGGATCTCCAAATCGAACCACATTTGGATACGCTTTGTGGTCCGACTTTTCGTCCCTTTTATCGTCTTCATTGCTGTCGCAGCCCACCAGGACAAAGGACACATAGTCTTTCTTATCGCACACAATCTGGGGGTGATTAGATTAGCATGGTTTCTGACTCTTAAAGGTAATTTACCCACCTTGTCCTTAAGAATCTCCGCCACACATTTTGCGGATTTCAGTTTGACTTCTTCGGCGGCACAAGTGCGCACATCCAGCACAATTATAAGGCTTTCCTGGGGAGCAAAATATGACTTAATTTGTTAAATATAAAATTAATCATTAACCAACCTTGTTAGAAGCCATTGGGAAAATTTATTTGCATAAATATAGGAATTGGCAGAAATTTGAATTGCCGGCGCAGAGATTTCACAACAGTATGACCGTTTATACGTTAAAAGAAAAATCCCAGCTGATTGTTCGGCCAGCGTAATAGCTTAATTTTTATCGCCTATCGATATTTACAATTTCGCGTTGCCAACTAGTGCGCTATTTTTTGAAAATATACGACTGAAAATTAAATTAAATTAATGTTATGTAATTAATTGATCAATAAATATCCAGTTATTTCAAAAACTCCATTTTGTATTTTTATTTATGTTATATATTTGGTTAAGCAGCTAACAATATTTCATACTGTTTCCCTATAGCTTCCCATAAGTCTGCAGCTTTTCCAGATACTCCGCGTTTTGACTCAAGTGATTGAAAATCAAATTCGTGTCCAGGACATTCGCGGCGGGACCACCATAATCCGCCGGCAGACTTTCGTAGCCAACCATTTCCCGCAGTTTGCTGAGATGCCGGCCATCGTGGGTAAAGATCTATAAAATGAAATGATTAAAATTGATCAATTAAAATAAAACCAATAGTCGTACTCTTTCTTTGAATTCCTTGTTCATAAAAGGCATAAAAAGTGTGGAAGTCACGTGCATAAGGAAGCCCCGTTGGATTATGTGTACGACTCGCTGACTGAAAGGCAGGACTCCGTTCTTCTCATTCACCACCTTCATAAAGGCTGGCGAAAATTGCCGCAAAAAATTACGCGTTGTCCTGGGGGAAAAATATTATAGTGAGTACAATAATAAATAATATTATAAAAAATAACAAGTTTAGTAAATATAAACTTGGAAACCATACCTTCTTAGCGACAACAGCTGTACAAGGACAAATTACACAAAGTAAAACCACACTTCACAATTAATCTATATTGAAAACATAAAAACAATCTTAATTGTATTAATTCCCACAAAGTTTTATAAATTTGTTTAATAAGTATTTGTCAAAAATTTTAATACACATTTATAAATCGAACACATTTATGTTCATTTCTAATTATCTTTATCTTTTTGAACTTTTAAATGAAAGAATTTAGAACTATATAATTGACTGAAAACATTTAATACTTGTAGTTTTGGCTTGCTTAGTTTTCAAATTGCACAGGCCTTGATGATTTTACTTAATAAACAAAGAATTATTAAATACATTAAATTTAAAAAACAAGAAAACTAAAAAAAAAGACCAAGCACCGTTTTATTCGAAAATCTAATAACAAATTATAAAGTGAGCAAAGCTAAGAGGTAAAGAGAAATAATTTAAGACCAGTTTCGAATAATGTAAATTGTGTTAGTTTTTCTACATATCTTATGATCACCTTGAAAATACCTTTTTGAGCGGACAAACTTTAAAGCAAACATCAATACCAGAGTTTATTTAACCTACCCTTGGAGATCGCAGATGACCGTGATGCCGTTCTCCTGGACTCGTGGCAGCAACAGGAGTGACTCGAAGATCAGGTCGTCCATTTCGACGAGGCTCTGCAGATAGTCCGGGTAGTCCTGGAACCCGTCCACCGTCTTGAAGACCACCAACACACGTCCATGTCGGTCCACCTGGGGCATTACGTAGCGGCAGTGGGTGCCGAAGAAGAGCTGGCGGTAGTGCTCGATGGGATGACGGGCCACCCAGGTGGGATGGCGCCTCTTGAAGTCATAGTAGGCGTGGATGGCCTGGTAGGCCTTGATCGTGTCCCAGTGCGTATAGTGCAGGAACTTGGTCAGCAGCGTGTCCTCCGTGCCCACCTGCAGGTCCTCGCACCCTAAAAACAGATCCCTATAAGTATCCTTTGGGGGCATGTGCGACTTGACTGTTTGCTTACTCTCCACAAGCTGCCTGAGTTGCTTGATTTTAAAGATCTGCTCAGCCGTGTGGTCGACTCGAGCGGTCAGGAACAGCATTTTAGGTTTTGAATTTTGAAAGAAGTTTCCAAGGTGTCTTTTTTTTGTTTTTGTAATTTTTTATCGACTGCAAGATTCACTTTTCACATCCAATCCGCTGACGATCCGCACTCGCAACGCGAACAACGCTCACTGACTAAAATATCCATGAAATCTGATTTGGTGTAGATGGTTTATTTGTTTTATAACCTGTGCGTGCTCAAATTTGTAATGGTCGCCAATGGGTTTGAAATTTGCCTAATTCTTCAACTTGAACTTGGTTTCTTTATAAGTTAAAAACGTTATTTTATTATTTATTTTAATATCAAGCTTTACCTGAGACACCAATCAAGCTTGTAAATCCAAAAAAAAATTAATGTATATTTTTAAAAAGTCTTTTAAAAAATAAACTAAAGACTACTAAGACCTAATTGTTAGACCACATAACTGTTATTTTCATACTTTCGTGGTATTGATTTAATACTCATTTTAGTAGGTTTTTAGTTTCATAAAAACAAATGCATTTTGAATATATGTGCTATTATAAATGCGTACTTAATTTATTTATAATATATAATTTGTTGAGATTGTTTTTAAACTAGTAATATGGGTTATTGAAAATTAAAGAGTACTTCAAACGATGACCTCCAATATTGCGAAAGCCTCGTCATCAGCGAAGTCATCCAGTTGACCTAACCACGTATTCGAGCCACAATTCATTTAACCCAAAAGATGGGAAAAGGAGCAGGGTGCTGGAAAAAAAAGTCGACTCGAAAAGTAGGAAAAGTAGTCAACAAAACGCGAAAGGAAACTATAAGTACGATAATTGAAGAAAATGTCAGCTACACACGATGCTACGTGACTTAATAATGCCCCTTGTCTGTTCATAATAACGGTCACAACGTGTTGCTTTTATTATATATACCCCATACCCCATCTATATCCGACACTTTGCACCGACTTTGTCAGTAATTTTCTTTTTTTGTCTTAGTTTTTTCGACTTTTTGCTATTTCATTAAGGTTTATTGATCGACTTGGAAAAGTTGAGCGCTCAAGAACAAATAAATATAGTTTTTTAATTGGTAAAGTGTGAGCAAATTCAGAGCGAGATGGGTAGATGTCCATCGCAGACCGTTTCCAAAAGCGATTAAATCGTGACTGTGATAAAAATGTTGGAATTAACATTGCACTACGAATATCAAGTTGATAATAATTGATTTTAGTTATTGTGATGGCATTGGCATTGTGACTGCTTAAATGTGCTTTGTAATTGTGGGCAAAAATAATTTTTATGTAAGAAATGATGTTAATTATGAACATCATATTTGGTTCTGCTGATTAACTGCAAAGCCAAAATAGCCAAACCACTTGTCACATCGTTAATTTATATAAAATAAGTTTGAATGTTAGGTAATTAGAAAAACACATTATATCCCTTATTACTAACAAACGAGTTTAAAATCAATTTGGATTTTGACAATTCATAACATTTCGGTTGACTGGAATGCAATTTGCATTCGTTTTAATAATTTAACTATATTCCCACCCCATTTGGAAACGCTCCATGAATAACCACTAAAACTGGGCTCACTTTTGATTTTACGCATTCGATGTAATTCAAATTAGGGCTTTTGCAAATGTTTCGGCAGTGACTTTCTGTAATCCAAAATCTATAAATAATGCATTTAATTTGGATGCTAAATAATAAACATTTGGGCTTTTGCGGTTTTGTTTTTTGGTCGGTGAGTACCGATTGTTTGCACGCTGATTAAATTGCGGTCAGCTGGATTGCTGGCCCATATGTTAATAATCAGTTGTATTTATTTTATTAACGATAATTTGGTAAATTAGTAAAAAATTAAGAGCAATAAAGATTCATATTGTTTGGTAATTTGGGCTTTAAAAAAATGTATAGCTTTCCAATTTAAAAAATATTAATAATTCTAAAATAGCATGTTGTTGACCCCAAATTTGGTATTTTTTTATCTTTCTCATGGAATGACCCTTACTTTCAATACATATTAATTTAATTTAACTGGAAATGCTAATTTTTCGTTAAAAACTTTTGGTTGTCAAGCTATTCTATAATGAAATCAACTTAAATGGTTTTCCAATCAACACCTTCACACTTATATGTTTAAAATTCAAAGTAACTTCAACTTAGCCAGCAACAAATCAAATTGACACCCACAATTTACAGAACCTCTATCGATGGAGACCCCAAATCGCATAGGAAAATTATCAAATGTTGACCATCGTAGACAAAACAATCCCCTAGAAAACCGAACAAATTACAACTGTTGTAAAGTGTCATTTTTCAACAGGACGAGCGGGCAATGTAGAAATAATCATAATGGCCATTCGCATATTTGAGGCGAAATCTTGCGTGGCGATGTTGTAGAAACAATAGCAGAGAGCTCACAGCAAAAAAAACTGACAAAAAGTAAAACAAGAAAAATGTGAGCAAATTTCGTTGGCACAAGAAAGGGCCGAGAAAGTAGAGAATAAAAAAAAACTAAACCAAATTCCAATTTGTCAGGAATTTGTTCAATTTTAGTTTTGCGGTGGCCAGGGACCAGGGAATGAGCGGACCCCGGAAACCGAACTCTACCCCCCCCATCCGTCGACCATCTGCATGCCCCACACGTGCCGCCATGCAAAACCCATAAGCATAACGGCCCACCCACTTGCCATTAAAGAGCTGCCACGACAAATCGCACACATTTAACACGCACACTGTGAACAAAGGGGGGTTGGAGGTTAGAGAGCCCCCCTGTGGGGGAAAAACTGCATACTTAACAGGCCCACAAAAAACCAGCAGGGGAAACAGCTGCTCACAATGGCTCAAACAACGTCGCCAACTGGCCAACAGGAAAGGCAAATCGCTGGCCATAGCGATGGAATCTGGTGCTAAACAAAATAATAACTCAAATTTTCGATGAAATTTTATGCAGCCGAGCCCATTACATTTAAGCTAATATTAACAGAAAAAATATAGTTATCAAAGATAAATATAGTTATCGCGCCAACTTTACAATCTTAAAAAAAAGGACACTGCAAATAACACTAAATTCTTTGTTAACATCCATTCCAAAATAATTATAAAAATCAAATTATTATAATTTATATATAGATACATACAAGTATTTTCTTTCTAAAAACTCACGATTCCATCACTTTTTGGGACCATAAGTTTTCTTGTGCTTGCGGCCTCCCCTAATGACATTTGTATGCCGCTGCAGACATGTGCAACTGTCGGAACCCGAAATACATAGCTTTGGAAAACTTACCCGAAGGCTCCTTTTTCGCTCTTTACTAGCACTGCAGTTTGCCAATTTTCCCGTGTCGGGTATAAGCAATGAGCAAAGTTTGAGCTTTCGCTTCGACAAACCAAACCTGGTGTTATTTTGTCGTTACCATTTTAATTTGTTTTATTGGCAATAAGCTCTGTCTCCTGGCGATAAGCAGGGAAAATTATTGTTTGAATTTATGCCAAGTGCGGACCGACAAAGAAAATGCCCAATGGCCATTTTTTATTGCCCTTAGAATAGAAAGCGATTCACCTCTCAGAGCAGTTAATAAATATTTGCTTCGCAAAAAAAAAAATAAAATACAAAAATGCTAAACCCCTAAATTGTTATTTTCTTCGTGAACTGCTTTTTGAGGGGCGAAACAGATAGGAAGATTTTTGTTATTCTCCTCCGGGCAACAACATCATATCCCCAACACCCAACTCCCCTATGGATTTGTGGCTGTGGGGCTTACGAAATCTGCCGGCGCTTCGAGAGTTTTAATTGAATTTTGAGTGGTGTATTTAGGGATTTGTTATTTATAATAGAAAAAGCACACAGCCGAGAGCGCCAAGGAAAATGGCATTGGAAAGGTCCGATAAAGTGCGCAGCGAAATGAAAATTTTCGCTTTTTGAATTTCTTTTTCTTTTTAAAAAAATGTATGCTGTATTTAGCTAAATATTTTATAAACATTTAGTTAACCTTGTTTTTCTAATAGAAAAAGGGATACCACTTATGTACACATATTTTAAACCAAACCTAAAACATGTACAATAAATATATCCATGAAATACAAATAATTCAATAATTTTAAACCATTTTGTTGGGATCACACTTGATAAGCTTCAGACTTAAAGGTAAAAGTAAAAGGCAAAAGTAAAAGATAAAAATAGCTATAGCTCGGAAATCTTTTGTTTGGCAAACAAACATTTTAATATGTATTTAAAGCCCTAAAATGCAATTCAATAGCGAAAAAAAAGAGTTATATATTTCTTTCCAAAAACAAATGGTTGAGTATTATTGTTTGGTTCTCAACGCAAATTGTGTTATAAAAAGCAATTTGTTAGCGCCATAAAAGCTTGACCCCGTCATCCTTTTTTTTGAATTCTCTTCGCTTTTTATTACAGTCGATGACCAATTCGAAGGGCAATATGTGCGGCGAAGTGTCGCAGTTGTTGGGCACTGGGCACCCCAATCATTGCGAATCAAACTGGAATTCCAACTGGTTCCCTCTGGCCACTGTACTATATGTCTCCCAGCTCCTCAATGGAATTTACAGCAGCTATTTATTTTTGGCCAACATTTGCGGCACATGTCGCATGGGGAGTGGCTCTGGCTTTGTTTTCCTTTTACGAGTGCGAGTACCAGTGCATTTGTTGTTCATTTCATTTATGTAAATTACCCTGTGGCTGACCTCCTTGTAACAACATGTCGGTGGCGTCATATTGGAACTGTTTCGTATCCCTGTCCGCAATTCGCAATCGAATGCTCATTGAGTGTTTTTTCCACAGTTTTCTTTTTTTTATTCGCATTGTATGGGGGTTATTGTGGTTTTTTAATCAAGTTGTAGGTGAACAAATTTTGGCTAACCGATTGTTGTGGGGGACTGTTATTCATTGTTGTATTTTCCAGCGCCAATAAAATGCCAAATAAAATAAAAAGAATTCTTTGAGAATGCAATCCTAAAGAACATGCATAAAAGAAAGGCAATATAACAAATTTGAGACTAGCTTAAAAAATTAGTTCTTTGTAAGTAATATTTAAGGTAAACAATATTTTTTTTAAATCTTAACATAACTCAAAGTTCAATTTGGCAAAGAGCAAAGATCAAGGATCATTAGACTTGTAAATGCTGTTT